TGATGCAGTGAGGTGTGGTGTGATGCAGTGAGGTGTGGTGTGATGCAGTGAGGTGTCGTGGGGTGTAATCGCTGAGGTGGAGTGGTTTGGTGTGATGCAGTAAGGGTGCTGTGGTAAGGTGTGTCTTGTTTTGTGAGTGTTGTAGTGAGATGGTGTGGAGATGTTGGGGGAGGTGTGGATTAATGTGGTGGGGTGGTGGTTCTCTTGTGTTATGCTGTGTTGTGTTGCGTTGTGTTGTGTTGCGTCGAGTTGTGGTAAAAAGGTAAAGGTAGTAATTTTTTTTACTTCGATAACGCGGGGAGTGGTTGCCCAATTCTCCCGAGCCAAGGGCTCATGTTTAATGCGCTCGAAGGTGCGCCCTCTACCCCCTCTTACTATCAGTGCTCCTTTTTACGGGTATTTAAAGCTAATTAAAGCTACACAGAACAGAGAGAAGTCGAAACAGACGTGGAGTTCCTGAGGATCGAATTATGGACTTCTGTTTTATTGTTATTGTTTTGCAATGCGTCGTGTCGTATTACGTTATGTTACGGTGAGTTGTGGTGTGGTGTGATGCATTGTGTTGTGATGTGATGTGATGTGGAGTAGTGGCACAGATAGCAGAAAGAGAGACCTTGACAATCAGATCAGTCCAGTTTTTACTTACAGCTTGTTGGGTCTCAATGTATTCATTGGCAAGGTTTCTGAGTTCATCAGGGACAAGAACTTCAGAATTTTCAAGCGCCTGTAAATTTAATAAAGTTATTCAATAAGATTACAATCGCCTCTTTATCATTGGATAAATACCAGAATAAATCATTGAATATACACTAGAAAGAGAAACAATGGCAGTAGAAGAAGTATAATGCGGTAATAATTGTACATATGTGAAGTAAAAACGGAGGATTATTAATCGTGGAAAAGTAAACAAAATTAATGTTTCAAGTTCCTAGTTTATTTTACAAAAGAATGTCTATATTTACACAATTTATCACCCTCTCGCAAATAGCACTAAACTAATCTAGGCGAGAGGCGATATATTACATTAAATAAATATTTGAAGATTTACCGATAAATAATTAAAGAAGATAAATAAATGAAAAACTAACAGTTTAATTACAATAAAGAAACGAAAAGGGAAAAAAGGAAAAAAAGGAAAAATGATGCTAACCAATGATTGAAGATCAAGAAATAATAATTTATAAATAGCCGCATTATATAAAGACTCAGTCTGAGACGATCAATGTTCAGAAAATCAGTACTGAGTTGTGTAATATTCCTACAAAAGCTGTTTTCCGAATCTTGAAGAAAACTCAAAGGAATAATGTCTAAACCAATGAATAATCAGAAGAACAAGTACATACCTTTACAATTTCAATAGCAAATCTGAAAAAAAGACATGAATGATAAATGAATGTCAATGAGTCAAAACAACAATGTATTTAAACATAAGCACCGTTCTCATAATGGCTGACATACAAGCGCACGAAGACAAGGTCAACCAGTCATTAGTTCACAACAAAAGATATAAAGCACACGAAATGCGTTTATAGAAGTGTAGCATAGAAATTGACATATTGCTTTTGCTAGGGTTTGATCTGTGAGTTAGCCATGCCCTGACTTAGATCAGCCCAGAGGTTGTT